CCGCCGCTGGAGCCCCGCTGCTGCTGCTGCTGCTGCTGCTGGGTGTCGGGGGCCCCTGCTTCAGTGCTGCTTGCTGGGCCTTTGTCCATAAAGACTGTTGAGGTACAAAGGGGTAAATATCAAAATGCATGCAGAGCCGAGCACGAGGCCCAGAGACAGCAGATTGGCTTTCTTTTGCTGCTCCAGGGGGCCCCCCCGGGGGCCCCCCCGGGGTGGCCCCCCGGGGTAAGAAGCATACTTAGTACCCTTTAAACGAAAGGCCGGGGGGGCCTCTCGCAGCGCCCAAGACCCCACTTGTTCATTTGCTGCTGCGAGGCGCTCACGGAGAGAAGCTGCTGCTGCTGTCAGCGAAGGGGGGGCCCCCCGGGGGGCCCCCCCGGGGGCCCCTCCGGGGGCCCCCCTGGGGGGCCCCATCGGGGCCCCCCTGGGAGGCAGGGGGCCTCTGCTGGGGGCCCTTCCTGAGCGAGATCCGGGGGGGGCCCCCAGGGCCGACTGAAGCAGCAAAGAGGCGCGGCTGAGGGCCCCTTTGAGGTAGCCCTGGAAGTTGGGGGGGGGCCCCATGGGGCCCTTGGGGGTCAGGGGGCCCCCTAGAAGGAGCTGCAGCTGATTGGAAATAAATTTAATTTAATTTAATTAATTAGAAAATGTTTAAGGGCACTTTCGGGGGGTCTCAGCGGCTTTGCTGTCTATACAGCCAGGACCCGGGGGCCCCCGGAAGAGAAGGTGTGCCAGGGGCCCCCTCTGAGCTGATTTTGCAGCTATTTTGCAGTATTTTTTGCATTTATTTTATAGATTCCAATTTCTTTATTATTTAGATTAATTCAATTATATATTATTCATTAAATTGCGCAAATCTGCGAAGGTAAGGCCACAAATTTGCAGCAGCACAAGCTGCTCAGAAAGCGGCTCAGGCCAATTCGCTCGCAACGGAGGCCCTCTTGTTCATTTTTAATTAACTTTTAATTATTTTTAATTATTTGTATTTCATTAATTCCATTTAGAAGTCCAAATTGCTCCTTTTTATCTGTACTGGGGCCCTGAAGAGGCCTCTCATTGCTGCAGCAGCATTGACGCAGCAACAAACTGCCTAACGATAGACCCCCGCATCATTGTCTTGATGCTGCTGCTGCTGCTGCTGCTTCTAGCTGCTGCTGCTGCTGCTGTTTCTAGCTACTGCTGCCGCTGCTGCGGCTTCTAGTTGCTGCTGCTGCTGCAGCCAACAAGGCTCTGAGCAGAAGGGTTCCCCTTAACCTTTCAAAACCTCAAAAGTCCCAAAAACTCCCCAAAGACAATCAAAGGGCCCCAGCCCACTCGGGGGCCCCCGGGGGGCCCCCGAGGCCCCCCGAAGGCCCCCGGGGGCCCCCACGGGCCCTCGTGTACTAAACCCTAAACCCTGACCCTAAACCCTAAACCCTAAAGCTAGTATAGAAAAGCACTTTGTGGTTTTCAATTCGTATTACAAATGTTGAAGTGCATTTCTTTGAAACAAATTCGGACTTTAAAACTCAACAAAGTCACAAATTTTGTTTGGGGGGCCCCTCAGGGGGCCCCAACAGGGGGCCCCTCTGGGGGCCCAAACGGGGGGCCCCTCAGGGGGCCCCAGGAAAACGCCCTCAGAAGGACCCTCGAGGGGCCCCTCAAGGGCCCCTCAAATGCCCCTTAAGGGCCCTTCAAGGGGCCCCTCAAGGGCCCCCCAGGGGCCTCTAAAGGGGCCTCAAGGGGCCCCTCAAGGGCCCCTCAAGGGGCCTCTAGAAAAGCCCCTCAAGGGGCCCCTAAATGGGCCTCTCAGGGGCCCCTGAGGGGCCCCTTCTTAGGGCCCCTTATTAGGGCCCCTCAAGGGGCCCCTGACTGGGGCCCCTCAAGGGGCCCCTGACAGGGGCCCCTGAGGGGGCCCCCAGAGAGGGGGAGGGGTTTAGGGTTTTGGGGTTTAAATGGAAGAAGAGAAAAGGGGCCCCTCTTGAAGGGTTTTGAATTGTTGTTTGAACTTGTTGATGAAATAAAAAAGAAAAGCCGAAAAAGAAGTTGAAAAAAAAGCCAAAGCCGCCGCGAAAAAGGTCAGCGGGCCCTCCCTGCACGCAAACCCTAAACCCTAAACCCTAAACCCTAAGCCGCCGCGCCGGAACCCTTAGGCCACAAACCCCGAGTCCCACCCACTCACAGAAGCAGCTGAATAAACACCAACCCTAACCCCTAACCCCCAACCCCCAAACCCTAAACCCCAAACCCTAAACCCCAAACCCTAAACCCTAGACCCAAAACCCCAAACCCTAAACCCTAAACCCTAGCGCTCGGCGCACTTTTCCGGCACTATCACGGGGTAGCGGTTGACATCCACGATCATGGAGCCCAGGGCCCATCCCGTCTCCAAAGAGCGGTCGGGATCGTCTTCGGGATCGTCTTCGGGATCGACTCTGGAATCGACTCCGGGATCGAGTGCGGGGTCACCTCCGGGATCGCCTCTATGATCGCCTCTGGGATCGTGTTTGGGATCGCCTATGGGATCGTGTTTGGGATCGCCTCTGGGATCGTGTTTGGGATCGCCTTTGGGATCGAGTTTGGGATCGCCTTTGGGATCGATCCGGAGCCGCAGGGAAGGGTTTGGGGGGGCGGGAACGGCAAAGGAGATCTGCTGGGAGTCGAGGGGAAAGCCAAACCCTCGGGCCAGCAGGGCGAGGCTCCACGTGGCTTTCCAGCACAGCTTCATCATCGCCCGCTGCGCACAAACCCTAAACCCTAAACCCTAAACCCTAAACCCTAAACCCTGGACCCCAACCCGAGAACCTGCGCCGACGCCGCGTGCGCCCGCAGCGCAGCGCGCCGAGCCCGCCGCCCCCACCCCAAGCTCCGCCGCAGCGCCAGGCCTAGGGTTTAGGGTTTAGGGTTTAGGGTTTGGCGTTTAGTGGCGCTTGGGAGCGGCGCACCGGGGAGTAGGCCTTGATGGCGTGCTGCTGTCTGTACACCTGAAGGCCCTGCGCGTCCAGTCCGCAAATTCTTTTTGTCTTTTTCTGCCAATTAATTAAAGTTGGAGAGTTGGGGAGGTCCAGCGCGCCCCACACCTTCGCCAGCTGCCCAAACGCCAAAAACCTGCGCACAAACCCTAAACCCTAAACCCTAAACCCTAAACCCTAGGGCCTGCGGCCTGCGGTCTGCGGGGCCCGGAGTCCTGGACGCGGAAGGGCCAGTTGCGGAGGGCCCTTCAGGGAGCAGAAGCAACCGCTCCTCCGGAAACCCTAAACCCTGAACCCTAAACCCTAAACCCTAAACCCTAAACCCTAAACCCTAAAC